AGAATTATTAGAAAACCTCTCCGGTTTGCGCTCTTGGGAGAATCTTATGATAGAATCCCTAAAGAGCGTAATACAGAACCTATTAGTTACGACTACAGGATACAGATACTGATAAATGGGTTGATGCTATAAAATCTAAAATGGAGTCCATGTACTCCAATCATGTATGGGATCTTGTAGAACCACCTACTGGAGTCAAACCCATTGGTTCTAGATGGATCAATAAGAAAAAAAAGGAGTGGATGGAAAAGTGCAAACTTTTAAAGCTAGGCTTGTTGCAAAAGGGTTTACTCAAAAAGAAGGGATCGATTATGAGGAAACTATTTCGCCAATAGCCATGCTTAAATCCATTAGGATTCTCTTATCCATTGCTGCTCATTACGATTATGAGATCTGAAAAATGGATGTCAAGACGGCTTTTCTAAATAGAAGTCTTGATGAGTGCATCTATATAGCACAACCAGTTGGTTTCATAAAAAGTGGCAATAAGCACATGTTGTGTAAATTAAAGAAATTCATTTATGGATTGAAACAAGCTTCTAGAGCATGGAACACTTGTTTTGATACATCGATTAAAACCTTCGGTTTTAATAAATGTGAAAATGAGTCTTGTGTCTATAAGAAATGGAATGGAGATAAAGTTACATTTTTGGTTTTGTACGTAGAAGATATTTTGCTCATAGGAAATATTGTGAGCATGTTGAATTCACTAAAGGAATGGTTGTCCTCACATTTCGAAATGAAAGACTTGGGACAGACAATACATATCCTTGGGATCAAGCTTATGCGAGATCGCAAGCAAATGATATTAGGCTTGTCCCAAGCACTTTATATTGATACTATTCTCACCAGGTTTAGCATGCAAGATTCCAAGAAAGGGTTTCTCCCTTTTAGACATGGAATCTCTCTGTCGAAAGATCAGTCCCCAAAAAACGACTGATGAGATAGAAAAGATGAAGGAGGTCCCTTATGCTTCTGCTGTAGGGAGTCTCATGTATGCTATGCTATGTACTAAACCTGATATCTGTTTTGCTGTTGGCATGGTTAGTAGATTTCAGTCTAACCCTGTACGAGAACACTAGACTGTCGTTAAGCATATAATCAAGTACTTGAAAAGACTAGGGATTATATGTTAGTATATCACTCAAGTGATCTTGCACCCACTGGCTATACTGATTCAGATTTCCAATCAGATAGAGACTCTAGAAAATCTACCTCAGGATATATTTTTACCTTACGAGGTGGAGTCATAAGTTGGAGGAGCATCAAACAATCATGTGTTGCTGATTCCACCATGGAAGCCGAATATGTGGCTGCATCTGAGGCAGCTAAAGAGGTTGTTTGGCTCAGGAATTTTCTGAAAGAGCTTAATGTGGTTCCTTCGGTTCAAGCACCGATTATACTTTATTGTGACAATAGTGGTGCAGTTGCGAACTCGAAGGAACCAAGAAGCCATAAAAGGAGTAAGCATATTGAGCATAAATATCACTTAATTCGGGACATAACTCAGAGAGATGATGCAAGAGTATTGAAGATTGCGTCAAAGGACAACTTGGCAGACTCGTTTACAAAGAGCTTGACATAGAAGATTTTTGACAAGCATGTAGAAGAAATGGGTGTTAGAGTAGTAGGCGCATGGTTATGAGTCTAAGTGGGAGATTGTTGAGATATACTATTAACCATGCGGTTTAGACATAGTATTTTATTTTACTCTTTATGGAACAATTGTTTACTTAATTTATTCAACTCAATAAAGTACTATTTTAAATAGATCATTTGTTACATGTGTGTCCTTTTAGTTATGTAGTAGACAATTTAGTGTATGGAGTCTTAGCTCATGCACAGAAGATTAAATTGTCGATTCTCATAATTAATAAACTATATTCACAATCAAAGATATTATTGGACAAAATATCTTGATGATTGTAGCACAAGATTATAGTATAATTTGTCTTGATTATGAGAGTGGTTTCACTCCGACTTCTTGTGCTAGTATACTTAGTGTATATTGAACGGACCAAGTAGAGAAAGATGTTTTTGTACTTAAAATATACATAAAACATTTTCTCTAATTCATTAAATGAGCTTATACTCCTAATCTTAATATAATTTTTATGATAAATGTAATTTGTTTATTGTTTTGATTTATCAAAAGATACGACTCTATTCAGAGTTAGCCTAATAGATTGGACAATAACGAATAACATTTGTGAAATAATAATTAGTTGATAGAATCGATGACTCGGTTTTGAGTTTGATGATACCCCTTTATGTAAGCTTATAAGTTTTCATGTGAAAACCCAGCCGGTGGATTTTGTATCCGCCACGTGAAATAGTTTAAGCGGAATTGTAAAGGATTTAATTAATTGATTAAATTAAATTTTCAGTGATTTAATTAACTGGTATTTGAGATCTTAAGATGGGGAGTTAAAATAAGTGTTATTGAATTTTCGAAATTCAAATTGAGGAGTTCAATTGCAGTTTTTAGTGGAATAAATTGCAATTAATTATAGTAAGAATTAATTCATGCTAATTTCGAATTAATGCTATAATTGGTAGCCTCTTATTATTTCTGTGGTCTCTGCTATACCTAGAAAAAACTTGGACAAAACTTGGGTAAAAAGTGACTTGAGAGAAAAGTCATCTAGTAGAGCTGGAGTAGGATTCTACTTGTAAAAGTAGAATCCTACACGTTTTTGGAGTATAATTTCGGCAAAAAATAAGTCTATTAAAGGAAGACTAATTTCACCCAATAACTCACTTTGTAGAGTTGTATTGTTCTTGCCCACCCAAAAGCAAAATCGTCCAAGGTTTTACTAGGCATATAGCAGAAGACTGCAGCGCTAGATTCTTGCTGTGTGGAAGCTTTGTGCAATGGTTTCAAGAGGTTAGTGCTTATAATTTTGTGATTATAATATTATCTAGTTTACATGTATTTGATGCCTAATTTGTATGCTTGTTTTCGTTATGCATGTTCTAACACCTGGTCACATAGCAACAACTTTACCATTTCCTTAACTAAAAACCCCATCTCTGGTCTATCGTTATCCCTTATTATTTGTTTAATAGTTATCCGCAAAGCCATCAATGGCGGCTGTAACTTTCCAACTTGTCTACTTGGAGGTCTCCATTTTTATACCCATACTCGTGATCATATTAGCGATCCCCCTAATCGTAGTGACGGCCACTCCTGCAATTTCGGACCTTTGTACGGTACAATAGCGAATAGGGCTCCTAAAAAACGTAAACCTGTAAATGATAAAGATAACAGCTAAAAAAATGCAACCATCCTTTGAAACAATATTTTTTTTAAAAAAAAAAAAAAAGTTCTTGCATGCAAATTTAACTTCGTATACTAATCTCCAATGCGATTTAGAACTTAAAAATTACTATTCCTAAACAATTAGAAAAACTGCATTTCTTAATCTAAGGATGTTTTGTGTCTGTCCTATTGAAACAACTTTAGACTACAGATCGTTAAATTGTAATCAACCTTCTTTTAGTGTAAACTGACGCGGCTTTACCCTTTGGTCAGTTAAATAATCCTTACATTTGGTAAATGCTTATATTTACTCACGCGATTAAGAGTAATGACCTCGCAAAGGTAGAGTTCAACTGCACCTCACTTTGTATTCTTTGAAATAGCCCTCAAACATTACGTCAATGAAATAACGATATGATCTCGATTTTGAATTTCTGAGTCCCAGGTTAGTATATATATAATTACATTCCTATTATCATGGCAGATATTTCAAAAAAAAGAAAAAAGATTAAAAAAAGAAAGAAAAACTGACCTAGAAATATCTCCAGTCCGCTTCCTAGAAATATAATGCATGAACACTAGAAGATAGGACATTTAAGAGAGTCACATGGTTGTTTATGGCGAGAAATATTGCTAAAAATAAAAAAAATATGATATTATATGTCACATAAAGTTGGATAATGTAAATGTTGGAGGATAAAACACTTCAAGCCCAATCATAGGCCGACTGGTGAATGGCTGCTTAAATTTCAAATTGATTTACACCCTACCAAATACAAAAATATAAACTCTTTGGTATTGTTACTATTTGGCAATCAATCATATTCATAATTGGCATGTGAGTTGAAGCTAATTGATGAAGCGAAATTTGATGCGTGAGTAGTCTCTTTATTGCACCACACTAACTGTTGAGATATTTTGCTCAACTTATTTGAAGAAAAACAAAAATAAAAATGAACTCTTTGGACACTTTCAATCTTTCATTGCCATTTATCAAGATAATCTGATGTAACTAAAAAAATAATAGGACCAGTACCCAAAATCCAGATCTTTTCCCAGCAACAGGAAACCTTTATCAAATTTTAGTCCCCATTTAGACTACCTAATCAAAGAAGATACTCTGCATTCGACTTAATTCACGCACATTGTCAATAAGACAAAGACCTTAGCGAAGCCAACCAAACTCTTTCTTTTACTTTTTCATATTGCTCCATCAGTTTTAATTTATATCACACAGTTTAATTCGGTATGGGATTTAAAAAAAAACTTTTAAATCTTGTGGTCTTTAAAGTATAAAAGATAAAAGTTTTGTGGAGCCATAATATTTGTGTGACTATAAAAATTTCTAAAATAAAATATTTATAATTATATTATTTTCAAATATAGAATATATAATTTTTTTGGAACGGACTAATAAAAGAATTGTATTATATACTATATCAATTGAAACGGAGGGAGTAGATGGTTATCCGCACGCATCTTTAGTAGTGACAGTTATTCGATCTTATAATAGGTTGGCCTATGCATGCTGATGTATTGTCTTTTAGTAGCTACATATTGAGTTGAATTACCTTTTACCATGCCTGCGACCCCATGCAAACAAGAGCTTAGGTCCTACGAGGAATGTCCTTCTCAGCACGCCAGATGCACATACATGAACCAAGGCAAAAAAGCAAAGGAAATTTAACCTTTTTGCCATTAATTACATTTAAACTGGACTAGCTCATTCCCCCAGCTCTCTTACCCACAAGCTCCTTCTATAAATTCAGAAACCAACTGCACCCCCCACATTCATCATAACTCGATCTAACTTTAGTTATTGAGAGACAAACCAATTACAGAAGCTTAATCCTTAGAGAAATTAAGAGAGATGGAAGGTGCTTATTATATCCGTTGCCATATTCTCATCGTTTTTCTTATTTTAGTTGCCTTCACTTCTTCTTCATTCATGAAGTCATCAGTTTCAGCAGCAAGACCAGCCGCCGGAGATACAAATACAGAGTTTATAAGAACATCATGCAAGTCAACAACTTATCCAAACCTCTGTTTCAGCTCATTGTCAAGCCGTTCAGCTGCTATTGGAGTTTCCCCTCAACTTCTTGCCCATGAATCCCTCACCGTCAGTCTCGAAACTGCCCAATCAACATCTGCTATGATGCTAAAGCTAGCACACGTCCAAGGATTGACCCCTAGAGAGGTTGGTGCCATGCATGACTGTGTGGAGGAACTAAGTGACACAGTCGATGAATTGAGAAAGTCCTTGGGGGAAATGAAGCAGCTAAGGGGCAAAGATTTTGACCTTAAAATGAATGATATTCAAACTTGGGTCAGTGCTGCCTTGACTGATGAGGATACATGCACTGAGGGGTTTGCCGGAAAAGTCATGAACGGGAAAGTTAAAACTGTTGTAAGGGGAAAGATTTTGGAAGTTGCACACTTGACAAGTAATGCTTTGGCTTTGGTCAACAGCGTTGCCGCTCTTCACAGCTAAAGTTACATGTCAACTATATATAGTGCTACTCTTATTTTACAATTAGTGTACTTAATTCCAGCTTAATTAGTTGATTCCTGTAATACCAAAGACATATGCTTTAGATGAATTTTTTACATGAGTGAGGGAGCTATCAATCAAAAATGTGCGCTAAAAGTTAAAAAGTGCCAACATCAATGATTAGGTTTGCACAGTCCTAATGAGTGAAAGAGAGTAGAGGCTATTATATTAATTCTCCTTCTGTCACAATTCACATGTCAAAAAAACATATGTTTATGGGATTCAACTAATAGATGAATTTTTCTTTCAATTCTTAATTATATTTATTATGAATATTTATCTATTAAGTGACTTGATAATTAAAATGGTTTAACAAGTTATCTACCATGATTTCAAAATACTGCATGCAATATGTTTACACACAGAAATACATGTTATAAGAGTGTTCGATTTCACACAGATGATATACCCAATTTAAGAGAAGATGCAGGAAACCAGCATAGCGGGCTTTTATTTAGAGCTTGAAGAAACCAATATGGGAGTAATTAAAATAGGCAGTAAAAAGGGTAGTATTTTATACCAGTTGCCCATCAGAAATTTTTTATCAAGTTTAATTAATTTAATATACCAATTCAACTCATTAGTGAGACTGTTTTTGAGCCTAGGTCCTCACGGTTTTAAAACACTTGAGGTGGGATTCTCCATTTCCCCCCAACCTTTTCAAAAATGTGGGATTCGCCTAAACTCAGTTGATCACATATGTGTGTCTCAAAGATGTGGGATTCACCTAAACTCAATTGTTCAAAGATGTGGGATTCACCTAAACTCAATTGATCACATATGTGTGTCTCACCATCTTTCAAGGTTGCAGAGAGAGTGACTCTAATAGCATATGTAACAGCACAATCCATTAGTGATATTGTTCGTGTTAGGACTAGGCCCGCATAATTTTAAAACATGTCACTAGAGTCTAAGGCTTGTTTATTTATATACTTAGTATCTCTTTCGTATTTTGTAGATGTGAGATTCGTCTGAAGCGTCACATTTAACCAGAAGAATAAAGCAACTATACTTCTCAATCCAAAACAAGTAGAGATTAGTTATTTGGATCTTTACTTACCATGCAACTTAAGCTCATCTTGTGCCCAATATAATAACAAACAATAACAATAATAATACTAAGAAGAAAAAGAAGAAGAGTAGGAGGAATAATATTAGTACTGGAAGCGCTCAAATTAGTAGGAGTAAAAGACTCGTAGAAAACATATATAAGATTAAATAAAACGCACTAACGTGATTAAAAATAGTCCCAACTGATAATTGTTGCCCTCTATATAAGTTTTTTTTTTTCCTTCAATTGTGCGCTGTTTCTGCGCAACAAATACAATCAAGACGAAGTAATATAAAAAAATCGAATGCTCTTATTGAGAGTCAAACTCAAAATCTCTGCTTACTAAACGAGCACTCTAACCAATTAATAAGTTTCGAGAACTTGTTGCTCTCCTATTCCAGTTCAAAACAATTGATCTCTTGTTTTATAATTTTGCTATAAAATTCAAATATAACCGCGAATGATAAATTTGCTGAAAATATAACTACGTATAATAAATACAGGGTAAATATTTGAAATGTCACGTAATTTTTTCATTTTGCCTCTCAACCTTTCACATCTCTACTTGATGAGGTGGGCTCATGCCCTCTTGCATAAGTTGATTGTGATATCAAAAGGGCAAAGGCCCAACTTTACACTTTACAGTTCAACAGAAAAGTGCATCGAGTTAGATTTATATATATATATCCACATAGTAGTCTTTCATTCATGACTGTCTATCCTTGGTCCATGTTCCAGGCAGCATTATCGCATCACCTACAAAAGAAGTTTACTCTTGGCAGCCAATTTTTCTTAATGTCATTGTATAACCAATTGAGAGAAGAAATTTAGTGAAGAGCAACACTAAATAGGCAGCTATCCAATTGCCGAGTTAATTGCTCTTAATTTGATGTTGAAACTATGAGCATACGTGATTGTCAAATACCATTATTTATTAATTTTTTTCCCATTACATTTGAACATTTCCTTTATGATTTTCAATAAGTTACTGTTATCCCCGCAAATTGGGCGATTCTTCAGAATTACCAGTTCTCAGTTAATTAAGATACTCCACCAATTTTTTTGTTTTTTACAAATATTGGAAAAAATTATATGGAATCTTTTAGGTTATGCTCTACTCAACTTAGATTAGTCTGTGTTTCCGTATAAATATGTGTAGATGAAAATTGCAAAATAAAAAGAATTTTAAATTTTGATTTCTAATTCATTACTATTTCTTGATAATTAAATGAGTGCTTTACCTGAAAAAGGTTTGAAATTTCTTGAAACAAAAATAAAAATCCAAGAATAGTAAGTAGTAAAGACACTTATATTTCCATGGCAATTAATTTGAAACGTATATTGAGCAGTAAACCACAGGAGGAGAGCCTAAAAGGATTAATTGTAACACAGTTCATAGATTTTGGTGGTATACAGAAGATGCAATTCTTGTCAAAACACTTGATACATACTTTTCCCACTTGCTAGACGATGATGATTTGAAATTAGAGAGCCTCACCCCACCTTTTGTTCAAATCGTTACAGCTTCTTATTTTTAATAGAGTAGTTATCCATTGGGCATCTTGGCCTTCAACTTGTCTACTTGGAATATTTTTCCACCATTAAGAGTATTCAATATCTTATATGTAACTTAATTTTTTATCAACTTCTAATGTGAAATTTTGTATGCACACGTAACAATTTCTCCCTCGAATTAAGTACCATATGGCCCATCATTAGACTTAGGAATTTTTCTAGAGATTCACCGCGTTTTACCTATATAATCCAAGTATTTATGACCACTAAAACTCGTAGGCTTCATCTTGTGTTTTGAGTCTCCCAACTACAAGTAAATGTAGTATCCGATTTATAGACGAGCAAAGGCAATAAATTAACTCGTTCCATCGCATCACTCTGTTGTCTTGTTTCTTAGCTCTTCTTAAGCCGCAGTATGAGAGATACGTCCATTATCTCCACACCTGTTCCGCCGAACTATCTACTTTGGTATCAATTTGTTGCGTTAAAACAACTCAAAAACACTCTTAATATATGGTATTATATTGTCCATTTTAGGCCAAGTCTATAGAATTTTTTCCGAAGGGTATCACAAAATAAATAGTACCACCCTATAACTTTTATTTATCAATTTTTTATGTGAGACTTTATTTGTACGTGTTGTTGGGTTTTGTTATTATTTCTTAATAACAAAAGAGGTGTGAATGGAAAATGGTGGAAATAAAATGGAGGGAAGTGAAATTATGAATGAGTTCATTTTACTAATGCACTTTGTCCCTCATTGGTAGAAGGAAAGAAAATCTTTGTGTATATATAGAGAAGCTTATCTTTTAGCTCTTAAAGAGTCAAGAAGAAGGCAAGTCTCACGTCGTCGTCATCGTCGCTCGCTCGGCTTCGACTTCGGTCAATGATTGATTAATCTTTTTGGACAAAATTCTTTTCAAATATTTAATTAATTAACGAAAATTCGATCCGGAATAACCCGGACCTGGTCCGGTTTGGCCTGTTTCTTTCCCGAATTATTTTAAATCTGTTTTACATTTCCCGCAATATTTCCAACAGCTATGGCTGTTCTGAAACAGTGTCAAACCTGTTCCAATAGCTATGACTATTCTGAAAGGTTGCAAACCTTTTCAGAAACAGTACCAAATTGGTTATAAATATACCTTCAAATCCCAGAATATTTACTTACGAAATTTTCTGATAATCTTCTTCTTCTTCTGCACAAAAATTCCAGTGTGTTTTGTAGCCTTCGAGTGGTTCGATGTTCATCGGCGTTTTTAGTACCAACACTCCGGTGAGTTAAATCGTTCTATTCTGGTAGGATATATTCCAGAACCTCGGGTACTTGAAGGGAATAATCTCCTTAAGGACACACTGTGCATTCAGTGGGTTCGATCTGTTCTTATACTGTTTTCAGAATTTATTTTGAAGAAGTTCAAATACTATTTTCGGAATTTAATTTCTATTACCTTTTTGTTTCTGTTTTCAGAAAGATTATTATTTTATTTATTTACAGCAATACAGATTAATAACAATCTTAAGGAAATTATTTTATTATATTTTTTATTCTGTTTGTGGAGATTAAAACATGTATGGTTTTCTACTCCGTCTGAATTTTACTATTCTGATTTGAAGATATAAAAACTTTATCAGAGTATTAAAATTTAGAAAACGATTTGAAGAACATAAAAACTTTATCGTTTTTCTGTAAAACAGAATATAAAAACTTCGGTTGTTTTTTATTACGTACTATTTATTGATTACAATATTATTTGTTGTTTTGGTTTTGCCATTAATTGAACTCTTCTGTTGTTTACAGTGAGAAATGACAAATAATAACAGAAATCCTTCTACGACTATTGGTGCAACGACGATAGCCTCGTCAAGCCGCACTGTTGTTCCTTCGGCCGAGAAACCGGGGAAATTTTTTGGAGCCAACTTCAAAGGATGGAAGCAAAGGGTGTTCTTCTGGCTTACCGCACTTGGTATGCAGAAATTCACTAGTGAAGAGCCTCCAGTGCCTGCTGCGGATATGTCGGATAATGAAAAGTTCATGGTTGTTGAGGCGTGGAAGCAGACAAATTTTCTTTGCAAAGGCTATATCTTAAGTGCTTTAGAGGATGACTTGTATAATGTGTACAGTGCATTGAATACTTCGAAAGAANCACTTCGAAAAAATTATGGGACGCACTTGAGAAGAAGTACAAGACGGAAGATGCATGCTTGAAGAAGTTCGTGGTTGCCAAGTTTCTAGACTATAAAATGATAGACAACAAAATTGTTGGAACCCAAGTTCAGGAGCTTCAACTTATTTTTCCAGACCTTATTGCTGAAGGTATGGTCGTGAATGAAGCATTTCAAGTAGCTGCTATGATTAAAAAAATTCCTCCTTCGTGGAGAGATTTCAAGAACTATCTTAAGCACAAGCGCAAAGAAATGAAGTTGGAAGATCTTGTGATACGTCTAAAGATAGAGGAAGACAACAAAATAGCCGAGAAAAAGTCTCGTGGAAATTCAACGATCATGGGAGCTAATATCGTTGAGGAGACTGCTCCAAAAGTAAGAAGAGGAAGAGGTCTTCTGGACAAACTAAGGAGCAGAACAAAAAGAAATTCAAGGGCAGCTGCTACAATTGTGGAAAAGTTGGTCACAAAAGCCCCGATTGTCGTCTCCCAAAAAAGGATAA